TCTTTACCAACCTTTGCTATTTTCTTATCTTAGCCACCCTAGAGGGAGTGACATGGTATCTTATTGTGGTTTTGATTTGCATCTCTTTGACGACTAGTGATGCTGAGTATAGGATATACCTTCTTTAAAAATGTTATATCCATGAATTTTTACTTGGAGAGTATGAGATGTTGTTGTTGTTGTTGTTGTTGTTTGCCATCGAGTCGGCCCCGACTCATAGTGACCCCTCCTTGGGTTTCCGAGGCAGTATCACTACGGAAGTAGGAATGCCCAACCTTCCTTCCAAGGAGTGGCTGGTGGGTTTGAACCGCCAGCCTTCTGGTTAGCAGTCAAGTGCCTTAGCCACTATGCTACCATCAGTTCTGACTCATGGTAACCTGATGATATATAACAGAAGAAAATGTTGCCCACTCCTGTGCCACTTTCCTGATTTGCTGGTGTGTCGGAGTCCATTGTTACGGCTAATGTCACCTCTGGGGGTTTCCTTCCTTTTCATTGACCTTCTGTCAACCAGGATGTCTTTTTCTAGTGATTGGCCTTTGCCTGATGACACATCCAAGTAAGCAAGCTGAAGTCTCACCACCCTTGCTTGCAAGGAGGATTCTGGTTGTATTTCTTGTAAGTGGATAATCATGGTTATTAATCATATATTTCAATGTTTCTTGATGGGAAACAAATGGGTACTAGGCTACCCCTCTGCCATCCATGAGAGACAAGTTTGAACAAAATCAGTGCTCTTGGGACAAAACTCTTTCCCACAACGGCATCAGGATCAACAACTCCACTAGGGGAGACAAGGTAATTGTGTCTGCTCAAACGAGGTACCCTGGAGAGCACACCTGTAGGGCTAGGGAGTCCCATATAAACCTGCTATGGTGGTTCTGTTGTGTGCTTCTCAAGAAAATATGCTGCTATTCCACACCCCCAGGACAAAGGCGAGGCAGCAAATAGCCCCCAGCTCCCTGAAACACAAAGTCCAAGGACTGATACATGTTGGGATCACACAGTAGCTGTTGGTAAAGTAAGTGTATCCAGACCACAAGCTGCAGGGGGATTGGCCCTGGGAAGGTCCCCTGGAACAGCCTGTGAATGTTCAGGGGCTCTCTGCTCAATCTCACCCACCAAGATTGTTGATGCTCCCATCTGAGCCTCCTGAGTGGGCAGCAGACCATGAAGTGGTCATGGGAGTAGGTGCTGGACCAGAGCTGCATTGGATCCTGGTTGTACACTAGAGCTTAGGCAAGTGAAGCATTAAGCCTGAGTTGCCTGCCCCATGGCACTGTTGAGGGTTAAGTGGGATGTCAAATGGGATGTGGTTGGCTCCAGAGTGGAATGTAGATTGCATCAAATAAACATTATTGTCCTGCTCAGATGTAAGGGTATGTGCAGTGGCTGTGAGATAAGAGAACAAGGGATTTAACCTGCATGGACCAGAAGTGTTGGACAAGGGGTGATTCTGTCTCCCAGGAGACATTGGTGATGTCTTGAGCAATTTTCAGTCATCGTGAATAGGGGAGGAGGTGCTGCTGGAATTGAGTGGGTGGAGACCAGGGATGCTGCTCAACACCCTACAGTTCACAGTAAGGCCCCTACACCAGGTAATGATTCAGAACCAAATGTCAGCTGTGCCAAGGGGGAGAAACTCTCCCTTTGCATAAGAGAATCTCTCTGTCTCTATCTGTCTGTCTGTCTGCCTATCTATCTATCCATCTGTCCACCCACCCACCCACTCAGCCATCTACCTACCTCCCTACTTATCCATCCATCCATCCACCCTTCCATCCATCCATCCATCCATGTATCTCTATCTATATCTCCAAAAAAACCAAACTCACTGCCATCGAGTTGATTTTGACTCATAGTGACCCCTCCTTGGGTTTCCAAGGCAGTGTCCCTACAGAAGTAGATTGCCCAACCTTCCTTCTGAGGAGTGGCTGGAGGGTTTGAACTGCCAGCCTTCTGGTTAGCTGTCACATGCCTTAGGCACTACGTCAGCAGAGCTCCTACTGTCTCTATCATCATCATTTAGCTACCTATCATCCGCTTTTCTATCTATTCTACCTTCCTTCCTTCCCACCTACCTACCCATCATCATCATTTGTCTACTTATCATCCATGTATCTATCTATGTATCTATCTATCATCATCTAGCTAGCTATCATCTAATTTTCTATTTCAGTCTATCTACCTGTCTGTCTATATATCTGTCTACCTTCCTTCCTTCCTTCCCAGCTATCATAATCATCTACCTACCTAATCATTTATCTTTCATCTAGGGAGAGGTCTGTGTTGGAGCCAGATATTCAACCATTGAATGAAAAGTGTAAGGGACTCATGAAAAGGGATGAGGCTCCTGGCTAGGGGAGGCAGAACTGCATCAAGACACCTGCCACCCATATCATGAATATTTTCACACCTCACGTGTACACTGAGCAAGCTGCAGCATGCCAGGGAGCTTTTTTGTTCTTAGTTGTCGTTGAGTCAGCGTTGACTCATGATGAGTCCACGCACAATAGAACAAAACACTGCTTGGGCCTGTGTTATCCCCATGCTTGGTTGCAGATCAGACCCACAGCCATAGGATTTTCATTGGATGATTTTCAGAAGTAGATCACCAGGCCTTTCTTCTTAGTCCATCTTAGTGTGGAAGCCTCACTGAACCCTGTTTAGCATCACAGCAACACACACGCCTCCATTGGTGTTTGCATGGTGGCTGCACAGGAGGTGCATTCACCAGGAATCGACCCAGGTCTCCCACACAGAAGGCAAGAATTCCCCCACTGAAACACCCTGCCCTCTGTAACAATATTATCTATAGATGGCAACAGTCCTGGCCAAAACAAACCAGTTACCATTGAGATACCACCAGCTCTTAGCAACCCGTGTGTGTCAGAGAAGAACTGTGTCCCAAAAAAACATTTTATGGGACTCATACACTGCTGGTAGGATCTCTGGAAGCAAAGTGCCTAAGGCACTTGACTGCTAACCAGAAGGCTGGTGGTTCAAACCCACCAGCCACTCCTCAGAAGGAAGGTTGGGCAATCTACTTCCGTAGTGATACTGCCTCGGAAACCCAAGGAGGGGTCGCTATGAGTCGGGTCTGGTTTGAAGGCACATTACAACAACAACAACATATACTGCTGGTGGGACTGTAAAATGATACAACCACTGTGGAAATCAGTATGTGATTCATTAAAATGTTGGAAATATAAATACCATTTGATCCAGCAATCCTATTACTAGGTATATATCCTAAGGAAGTGAGAACCAGGATACGAGTAGATATACGCAAACCCATGTCCATTGCAGCACTATTCGCAATAGCAAAGAGATGGAAATAAGCTGAGTGTCCATCAACTGAGGAATGGATAACCAAACTGTGATACATACACACAATGGAATACTATGCAACACTAAAGAATAATGTAGAATTCATGAAACACTGCATGACATGGATAAACTTGGAGGATATTATGCTGAGTTAAATAAGTCAATCACAAAAGGACAAATATTGTGTTAGTCCACTATTGCAAAAAGTCAAGGAAAGGTTTATATATGAAAGGAAATTTTCTTTGTTGGTTATCAGGGAGGGGTGGGGAGGGGAGAGAAAATTCCTAGATAGGTTTTATATATATATGCCAAAGATTATTATTTGTTACCAGGGGTAAGAGGGAGGAGGAGGGGGAAAGGGGAAGCTTTTGTTTGTGAGGCATTGAGTTTATGTTAATGGTGGTGGAATTTTTTGGAAAAGGACAGCAATAATGATGGCAGAACATGAAAAAATGTCATCAATGTCCCTGAGCTGTCAATGGAGAAGTTATTATGTTGGTGAATGTTTTCATCACAATAAAAGTAAAAAAAGAAAAAAAAAAAAATTTCATTTTGCTGTTGTTGAGAATATACACAGCAAAACATACACCAATTCAAGTTTCTACATGTACATTTCAATGACATTGATGACATTCTTTGAGTTGTAGAACCATTCTCACCCTCTTTTTTTTAGTTGTTCCTTCTCCATTAACATAAACTCACTGCCCCTAACATTCTTTTCATCTTTTGAGTTGCTATTGTCACTTTGATACCATATGTTGTTGTTGTTGTTAGGTGCCGTCAAGTAGTCTCCAACTCATAGTGACTGTGTACAGTAGAACGAAACACTGCCCGGTCCTGTGTCAACCTCACAATCTTGCTATACCTGAGCCCATCACTGCAGCCACTGTGTCAATCCATCTTTTTGAAGGTCTTCCCCTTTTTGCTGACCCTCCACTTTACCGAGCATGATGTCCTTCTCCAGTGAATGGTTCCTCTCAACAACCTGACCAAAGGGGGTGAGAACAAATAGGTAGTTCTTAAAAGAGCATAACGCTCAAGGCAGACTTTCTTTCTTTACTGGTTAAGATAAACCATCATTTGGTTTTAAGATGACTTCTGGAAACATTTCTGTTTTAAGCTTTAAAGATTATCTCAAGGCAATAATTTCAGGTGTTCATCTACCTCCCATGGCTCCAGAAAGTCTGGAGTCTGTGATCATTTAAAATTCTGTTCTGCATCTTCCCCCTTTGGATCAACACTCTTCCATAGAATCTTTGATCAAAATGTTCAGTAATGAGCACCTTCCAGTTCTTCTGGTCTCAGGGTAAAGGAGGCAATTGTGGAGGCAGTTAGCCATACATTCCTTTTCTTAGGGGTTTCAAGGGCTTATGTCCCAGAAGTAGAATGCTAGGTTTTTATTCTGAGGCACCTCTGGTAGATTTGAGCCTTCAAACTTTCAGTTAGCAGCTGAGCACATTATCCATTTGCTCAGTACAGGAACTCCAAAGCACTAAGAAACTGAAATTATTAACTCCTCATGGAACAGATGAGGAAACTAAGGGTCAGAGATGTTCAGTGAGCTGAGTTTTGAAGTGTGGGTGCGGAGGACAGCAAGGAGGTGACCTGTTCCCTCCCTGGGAACCCATCACTACTAACACCTTTGTTTCTGCCTTTAGACCTACCTGGGCATGGGCAATCAGACTCAAGTCTCTGAATTCGTCCTCGTTGGCCTCTTTGCACAGCCCCAGCAGCAGCAGGTCCTCTTTGGTTTATCTTTCAGCCTGTACCTGATTGGGGGTATAGGGAACCTGCTCACCCTTTTGGCCATCATCTCAGACCCTCAGGTCCACAGACCAATGTACTTCTTCCTCAGCAACCTTTCTATTCTCGACATCTGCTTTACCTCCACCACTATCCCCAAGATGCTGGCCAACCACCTGTATGGCTGCACCACTATCTCCTTCCCAGAGTGCCTGGTCCAGATGTATTTCTTCATAGCCTTTGGGACAGCTGACAGCATCCTTCTCTCAGTTATGGCTTTTGACCGCTACCTGGCCATATGCTGCCCACTGCATTACATGGCCATCATGAATACACTTTGGTGCACCTTGCTGGTGGCAGTACCCTGGGTCTCAGGTAACCTTGTCTCCATGGTCCATACAATCCTGATGAATCACCTGTCCTTTTGCTCCAATAGAATCCCACACTTCTTCTGTGACCTCAATGCCTTGATCAAGCTCTCCTGCTCTGATACACAAATCAACGAGATGCTGGTGCTGGTTCTCGGGGGCTTGGTGGTTTTGATTCCTTTTGTGTGCATCATGACCTCTTACACACCTATTGCTATGGCTGTGTGGAAGGTGCCTTCAGCCCAGGGGAAGTGGAAAGCGTTCTCCACCTGTGGCTCTCACCTTTGTGTCATCATTCTTTTCAATGGGACTATCATTGGTGTCTACTTCAACCCCACATCCACACACTCCACTCCAAGGGACATGGCACCCACAGTGATGTACACTGTAGTTACCCCTATGCTGAACCCCTTCATCTATAGCCTGCGGAACCAGGACCTGAAAGGTGCCCTCAGGAAACTTCTTGGAGGGAACCATTTGGCTAAATCTCTCTGAAAACCCTATTTAGATGATGGTCACACAATGTGATCAACGGAATTGTATCACCATGTCATATACATGAAGAATGTTTAACTTTTAAATCTTATATTATCTATATTTTTACAACTGAAAAATCCTAGGAAGAAAAAGTCTAAATCATCAAGTAGAATTTAAAAATAATAATAATAATAAGAAGAAGAAAAGATTCAATTGCTTTGAAATAAACAATTGTTTCCCAAGATTAGAACTCAGGGTTGTTTTTCTTGGTCCATAGACACACGTTTCACAACTCTAAAAAATTTATCCCCTTTGTAATACTTTTTGTCCTTCTGACTGTACTCTGAGAAAGTCTCAATTAGTTGCTACCATGTCTTTAACACCTTCTATATAACATTTCTTTTGAAAATGACATGTGGGTCTCAGGCTGACAGTCTTCAGCAGACAGCAGCGTTGGCTAGAATTTAAACAACATTCTTTTATTTTCATGATATTCTCTTCTTATTCTTATCTTTTGTTTTGGTTGACATTCAGCTGGGAAAATGGAAGACATGCTCTAACTGGCAAACTTACTTACGCCACGTGACTCTGGTTTTCTATTTATGGTCAGTTGTTTGCTCCTTTTGGGTCAGCTCTAACTCATGGTGACCCCAGGTACAACACAACAATATGTTGCTGGTCCTGCCCCATCTTCATTGTCACTGGTATGTTTGAGTCCATTGTAGTAGCTGCTGTGTATTTTGAGTGCTTTCCAAATCAGGGAGCTTATCATTGAGCATAATACCGAACAGTGTTCTGTTGTGATTCACAGGGTTTTCATTGGCTGATTTTCGGAAGCAGATCACCAGGCCTTTCTTTCCAGTCTGTCTTAGTCTGGAAGCTCTACTGAAATCTGTCTACCATGGTGACCCTACTGGTATTTGAAATACCAGTGGTATAGCTTCCAGCATCATAGCAAGATGCAAGCCACCACAGTACAACCAACTTTCAGATGGTGGTGGCTATTTATGATTTCTATTTACAGTAGTGATCTATTTATTCATAATGAAAAACTTCATAGGTTTTAAAAAACATTCAAGTTGAAAGAAAATTATTGAGTAAATAATAGCACTTCTGGTGCAGATATTTGCCTCAAATAAATTGCCTCAAATAAATAAGTAATGGAGACACTGAGCTAAATAGATTGCCTGTGATCAGTCAAGAGTGGAAAGATTAGAATATTCTTCCAGGACTGGCTTTAAAATCAGACAGGACTTCGGTTCAAATTTCCCTTGCCCACTAACAGGCTGGTGACCCTTATCTACTCATGTTCCCCACGTGTGAATTTTGTCTTCATAAAATGGGGACCATTCAATCTTTCCTTCTAGTCTGTTGTTGTGAGTCAACTAACTTTAAGTCTTAGTGATGCCACTTTTTCACTTGTAAATTAGGGTTGATAATGCCACCAACCTCCCCTGGTGTTTATGAAAATGACAAGAATAAAATGTGAAACATTTATCAAAGGCTTGTTGTTGTGGTTGTTATGTGCCATCGAGTCAGACCCGACTCATAGCAACCCCTCCTTGGGTTTCCGAGGCAGTATCACTACGGAAGTGGATTGCCCCATCTTCCTTCCGAGGAGTAACCAGTGGGTTTGAACCACCAGCCTTCTGGTTAGCAGTCAAGTGCCTTAGGCACAAAGGCTTAGTACATAGTAAACCAGTTGCCATCAGGTCAACTCAGATTCATAGTCATCCCATGTGTGTCAGAGAACCCTGCGGTTTTCAAGGCTGATTTTTTGGAAATAGATCACCAGGCTTTCCTTCCAAGGGTGGCCTCAAGCCCCAATCTTTTAGTTAGCAGCCTAACATTGAACACATTAACTATTTGCACATGGGAGCTTCTGTGGCTCAAAAAAGACATTGTAATTTCAGGAAACTAAAAAATGTATTTTAAAAAAATTTATTGTGCTTTAGGTGAAAGCTTACACAGCAGATTAGTTTTCCATTCAATAGTTCATACATGAATTGTTCAGTAACATTGGCTGCAATTCTCGCAATGTGTCAGCATTCACCCTAAAGATATATTTTGAATGAAATATGCCTGGATTGTCCGTAACATAGTATTTTTTTAAAAAATAAGTGTTGCAAAGTTATTCAATAAACTAATTTTTAAATATTTCAACTGAAAAAAAATGGAAGACACTGAAAAGAGACCCTGGGATTTGAGATTTTTGTCAATTTATGAGAAGCAGTAGGTTCCACACAGAAGGAAACATCAACACTGCAAAAATAAAGATCACATTGTGCTTCTGAGAATTAAGGTCAGCCTTTGTGCCTCCTCCCACCAAAAAAAAAAATAAAATAAAAAAAATAACCTCACTGCCGTTGAGTCGATTCCAACTCATAGCAACCCCTCCTTGGTTTTCTGAGGTGGTATCTCTACAGAAGTAGATTGCTCAGTCTTCCTTCTGAGGAGTGGCTGGTGGGTTTGAACTGCCAGCCTTCTGGTTAGCAGTCAAATGTCTTAGGCACCACACCACCAGAGCAGTGCTTATTTTTAAAGAAAGAGTTTGGAAGGAAAAAAAATAAATAAATAAAGCCCAAACTCTTTGCATGTGACTTTGCTATAAAGCAATTTATTTTTATTTTTGAGGTGGTCCTTGCCACAAGTTCTACAACATTTACTCCTGGAGATCTCTTTTCAGCCAAGCAATAAATTGGCTTATAAAATAAATAATATCACCCATGAAGAATGTGCTCCCTTAAACAACAATAATATGAAACCAAATGGTCAATCTTAACCCAAAAGCAAAGATGAGAAGGCAAGTAGGAGCCAGCAACAACCCAGGTTGGCTTAGGTATTTTGAAAGACAAGAATTGGAGGAGGAGCCAAGATGGAGACTTAGGCAAATATACTATCCAGACCCTCTACAACAAAGATTTGAGGAGACAAGTCAAATGGATAGGGCTGATAATACCGGAACCCAGTGCTTCAAAGGAAAGAATAAGGAAGTAGATAAATACCAAAGAAAGGAACAGACTGAATGAAAGAGAGAAAAAGGAGAGATGTGGAGTGGTAGCCAGCACAGGGAGGCCATGTTGAATTATTGCAAGCAGCATTTTGATTGGAGCAGGAGCCAGGTAACTGGCTCTACTCACCCAGAACTGCATCAGCACCCACATCAGTGATCATTGATCAGAGAGGTCTTCCCTCTTCCCCCTCACTTTTTTCCTTCCTTTTCCTATTCCCTTTTTATTTTTCTTCTACTTTTCTGCAGCATTCAGGAGCCAGCAACCATATCAAACCATACCCACCATACCTGCTGCCCTATCCACTGGGTGAGTGCCACCACCCACTCCAGCAACACTGTATCAATGACAGATGGTGGCCTTCCCAGCCTCCCCTCTGCTGCTTTGCATGACCAGCAATCAGAGACTTGTGCCCACACTCCCACTTGCTACCAAATCCACCCAGAAAAGGATGGTGAACACCCTAGTCCTGCCAAACTAGTGCCCAGAGTATATTAAAGCATACCTGCCCATTTTCCCAGATATATTAAAGCAAAACAAAATGTCAAGGAGAGGCAAGGATATACAATCAATAAATGAATACATTAACACCACAATGTCTCAGAGACAACAAACAACTTCAAATCACACACACACACACACACACACACACACACACAAGACACAGGGCTCAAAGAAGTGATCAAAATACAGGGCCTGAAAGTCTTCCAGAGGAAGAAATGCTATTATAACTACCTGACAAGGAATTCAAAAGATTTATACTTAGATACCTTCAACAGATTTAGAGCCAGATCAAGGAAAACATAGAGAAAACTCTAGAAGAATTCAGAAAAACAATACAAAAATAAACTGACAAAATAAATTAAAAATTAGAAGTCATACAAAACAGCAACTAGAAATCCATTGATATTAATATTTCAGAAATAGATCATAGATTGGAAGGGCAAAGGAGTAGAATTGAATCGATGGAACACATAATTAGCAAAATTGAAGACAAATCCTTAATACTAATCTGTTAGAGGAAAAGTCAGAAAAAAAGGAATGAAAAAATGAAGAAAGCCTAAGATTAATGTAGGACATCATCAAGAGAAAAACTTAGGTGTGGTCAGAATTCCAGAACAGAAAGAGACCAAAAAATAAAACCACCATATAATTTTCTGTGCTGAGCTTATATTGTTTATGAAATTTGTTATTTCATTTGTTGCTACTGTTTTAGTATTTATTAAATATTTGTGCCTCTCCTCTTTTTTATTTTGATGTAAAAGTTCTAATTTTCTTTGAGGTTACTCTGTGGTTTATTATTTTCTTCTCAATTTTAGAACAGTCTGTTCTATCTTGCAATTGTCTTGACTTCCTCACCATTTGGAAGTTCTGTACTTAACACTGTGTATTCCCTCTTTTTGGTTTATAGTTGTCCTCATTTACCAGTTGATGTCTCTGGTTCCCCGTTTACAGTCTCATAAGTTTATTTTACTTTGGATTCTTCTATGCCTGGGTTGGTTTCTGGGTGTTAATCATCTGTTGTCTGGTGTTATTGGTTCTCTGTCCGAAGGACTTTTAGTATCTCTTGAAAGGTTGGTCTTGTTTTAATGAATTCCCTTAACTTCTGTTTATCTGGACATGTCCTAATTTCACTGTCATATTTGAGGGACAATTTTGCTGTGTATATAATTCTTGATTGGCAATTTTTTTTTCTTTCAGGGTTTTATATATGTCATCCCACTGCCTTCTTGTCTGTATGGTTTCTGCCAATAAAGCAGAGCTTAGTCTTACTGGCTGCTCTTTGTATGTAACTTTTCATTTTTCTCATGCTGCTTTCAGGATTCTTTCTTTGTCTTTGGTTTTGGTGAGTTTGATTATGATATGCCTTGGTGATTACTTTTGGGGGTCTATCCTCTTTGGGGTTTGTTGAATTTCTTGAATGGATATCTTCTTGTCTTTCATTATATTAAGGAAGTTCTCTTCCAACAAATCTTTGACAATTTATTTTTTCTGTTGTTTTATTTG